GTGACTTCGGTCATTTAAGATGTAATTAACTATAGGGGCTTGCCCTTATATGAAGCTTTTCCGAACCCAGCTTAAAATAAACCCTATTTAATTATTTGTGTTAAATAGGGGAACTTGTCGGCAAATAAAACGGTTTCACAGACCCAAACGGACGTGATATGTTTTCCTAGTTTATTTGATTGAGCTTCATCCTCAAGTCTTGTGTTTACCCTTCGGGATAGATTCAGGATTTGAGGTAGAGCGCTCTTTCATTTAAACTGCGAAAAATATAAGGTCAGTTTGATTTCATATTTTTTTAAAATTATATATATATATATATATATATATATATATACACACGTAAATTAAAACGTCCTTCCGAAGCGGGCGATGAGATTTCAATTCCGGCTGCCGACAACTTCTTACGGACGACCCCCAAACAACATCTTTTTTTTAGTGCCGACATACCTCTATCTTTCTTAACATAAGTCGAATTTAAAACATCTACTCTTCTAATTGGGTCATTAGATGGTCGACGTTTAATGTGACCAAACCATCTGATACACATCTAAGATAGACTCTCTCTAGTCTTATCTACTGCTAGAGCTACATCAAACTTACTGATATATTCATACTTTTGTCTTTAAGTGTAAAGACACTCATCCACCTAAGCACTCTCATCTCAACAACATTTAGTTTTATGCTTCTCTTTTAAAGGCCAACATTCAACGCCCTAGAGCATTGCACGTCTCACCACCATTCTTAAAAAATTTCCTTTCAATCTAAGTAGTACTTTTTTATCACACAATAGGCCCGAAGCACTCCTCCACTTCCACCAACCACCAACTTGAATTCTACTAATAACATCCCAATCAATATCACCATCACTTTGAACAATAGACCTGAGATATCTAAAGCGTTTACACCTTTTAATAATTTGATCGCCCATAGTTACATTTCTGTCACCAGAGCTACTACCACTAAAATTACATTCCATGTATTCAATTTTAGTTCTACTCAAACGAAGGCATTTAGACTGCAAGGTACACCTCCACAATTCAATTTTTTCTTGAGTTTTTTCTCTCGTCTCATCCACAAGAAGAATATCATCAGCAAAAATCATACAGTAAGGTACCTCCTCCTGTAAGTGTCCAGTAAGAACATCCATAACTAAAGCAAAAAAATATCGGCTTCAAGCCGATCCTTGATGTAAACCAACACAAATAGGAAAATATTTGGTCAATCCTCCTTTCGTTCGAACACAAGTAACAACTCAAGAATACATATCTTTAACGACTTGAATATATGTCATATCAACTTCATATCATCATATCAACATCTTTCTTCTCAAGAACTCTCTAAAGGATATCTCTTGGAACCTTATCGTAAGCTTTTCTAAATCAACAAAAAGCATATGCAGATCCTCCTTATTATCAACCAAGAAAAAAAATTCATTCAAATTTATCATTTTGTTTTGCTTTCCTCTCTTTCAATTCCTTCAAACCAAACATCTTAATGTATAAGCAACAATTTCTCATTTTTACTGATTCAAAACCATTGACCTTCACTTTCAAAGCTCAAAGACAATACCACTCAACCAAGGGATTGGTGGTGTTCTCAATTTATACCTACATTGCAAGAAAAAATAGGAAGAAAATTGTATGTGGGAGCAAATTTTAGATATAGATTGCTTATGGTTGATTTAAGTGTAGATGAACTAATGATAAAATGATGAAGACTTTGGTCGCAAAAATGGTAAATCTTAAGAAGCAGAAAAATATACAAGCCTGCAAGAGCATGATCTAAAAAAATTGGATGAAACAGTTCAGCTGACTCTAAAAGCTAATGATTACCTTTGGAGAAAAACAGGAGCGAGTCCTCCTTTCTTGAAAACGTTAACATTCCGTTCAAGTTCTGCTAACTTTGTTGAAAGTATTGATGGATGTTTACATGCATCACATGATTTTTGACAAAATGACGCAGATACCTATTTGAATGATAACAGCAGAATTACATAGTTAATCCATGGAAAGAGAGGTTTATCTCTAATTAAAATGCATAGCGTATTAAAAAAAATGAACCGCGGTACTTGTTCACCAAAATTCTGAAGGATTTTTCTCCGACGGCAGCCAGACCCCTCACAATAGTCCACCACCTGTACATACAGAAAGCACATTATTATCCCGCTAACTTGCATATCCATATTATTTCTAAACTTCAAATAAAATAAAGAAGCACCTCTCTGAAATCTGTAAGGGGCTTCTTCAAGAGCTCCTCTGAGGAACTAGAAGATTGTGATTTCTTTTTAACTCCATTACTCAATATAAACTCCTAGCAGCGCAAAATAAATAAGAAAAACAATACCTTTATAACTCATGAGTAAAAGAATAGACTAAAATATGCATCTCATTGGCACAACGAAAATCACCATTCTTTTACAGTCATCCAAGCCATAATACAACACACTCCTCGAAGGTTGCTGATCACGGCCAGCTCTTCCAGATTCTTGATAGAAGGCTTCCATTGATTTTGGAATGTTAAAATGGCAAACAAATCGAACATCCTTTCTGTCAATACCCTGTAGTCACAGGCAACATTTTGCATGGATATTCCTCACAACAACAAATCAAGAAATTTCCAGCCAGGCCATGAGAAATGACCAAGATAACAAACATTCCTTACCATTCTGCAGTAGCAGCATCAGAAACCGCAGTCCACATTCATGAATCCAAACGGAAAGCAATAAATAAAATGTTAGAATAAAATACTGAAATACATGTCGTAGAATTTAGCATGAAAATAGTCATTTGTGCTTATGTTCAACAAGCATTCATTATATTACTCTGGAAGTTATGACAAGGGATGTCCCTAAATAAATAAATAAAATCAAGAAGTAAAGTACCCAAATGCTACTGTTGCAACAACAACAAGTATCCTGGAAGAGAGCCAATCATCTAAAACAGTGCTTCGCATCTTGCTATTCAGCCCGGCATGATAAGCTTAAAAAAGAAGGCAGGCAACATTATAACATGTCAGAAAATAATTAGTGAATATATTAAGTATCAATCCACACATACCAGCTGAAGCTATGCCATTCTTTGATAGGTGCAAAGACAAATCGTCACAAGTAGAGCGTTCAAGGCAATAAACGATGGAGCAAACAACCTCACCACTAGACTTGAGTAGATTTGACAGATCAGAGTACACATCATTTAAAAGATCCTTGAACCTCACTGTATTGATTAAACATTTAAGTTATATAATTTGAGACATAAGAATAGAAAAACAACGAAGAATGAAATCCTAAAGGTCAGTTTCTTAGTATTGTTACCATCTTATTAGTTAAAAAGAAAAAACTTGGACAGGCTCGGTCCAGTCGAACAAAGTCAACCTGCTCCCAGAGCAAGTGAAGAATGGTAAGTGACTGAAGTGCAAGGGGGAGAGAGATGAGCAATAGGAAGGGAGTACGCGATTAGGAAGGAGGAAAACAATGTGGAAATTGGTGGAGTTGTTGGATTTTGATGACAATTAATCCTTTTACATGATTATTAGAGAAATTGGCACCTAACCTTAACCCTAACCATCCTAGCCCACTTATTACTTCCTCTTCCCTCTCCCTTGCTACGAGCATTCATCTCCTGTGAAAAAGCCTTCACAGTAAGGGTTTATCTCACAAATCATTCATTTTCTTTCCCT